ATCCTTCATCTACTAAACAAAGCATTTTTATTTCTGTCTCTGTACCCAACAATGAGATTACCCTTCACTTCGTGTCATGCTGACCACTGTCTATAAGGCAGTAAGTAAGAAGAAATCTCCCAAAGGGAACAGAAACAGCAGTAAAATCTGACAGAAGTTCTAACCCTTCTACATTCTACCAAAAAGAAAATTTTGTCGAAGTTCTACCTTTCATTTTCATCACTGTCCATCTTCAAAAACACTATCACACTATCGGGTCTATTTACAAAGCCATTAGCCCTGAGAATCTCTGTATAAGTTGATTCTGTGCGAATGGACCCACGAAAATGAACGTTCTTAGTATATTTTCTTTTTACGTCTAATGTAATTTCAACTATCATCTTGTAATACCATATTATGGTCACTAGATGGTGGTGAGGAACATAGGAAATAGATACTTCTTTCCTTTGCTCCTTGGCTCCATCTAGCGGACTTATTGTGGTATTTTACATGTAGTACATTCAATTTGGAAAGAAACTGTACCAACAACATTTGTATTGGACTCCCATTTGCACAGAACAAACGTTTATGGAGTTTATAGATACACCCCTATGTGTATATGAATCTTTTTTTTCTAATGCAGCGTATAACACACATCATGTGCATTCTGGTGCACCACAGTGTGGATGCATTGCCTGCTACTGTAACTACAGTACATTTGTTGCCGTAATGCACCAATGTGGTGCATAACAGGAACATTACTAAAAGAAATATGGAGCTGCAATGCTGAAATGTTAATTTACTGCTGAACTGAACAAGATGCTGATCTTCTATCTTAAATATTTTGCCTGGATTAAGTATTCAGATCAGTAGTTGTAAATTTATTAGCTACATACTTGTCCTGGGTCAGTGAATCAGAGAACTCTAAAACTACAGACAGCCATGCAGTGTGTATGTTCAGAAAAGGTTTTCTTCAATTACAAATACTTAGAGAAAAGACACACATACTTTTCTCTAAAAGGTTATGACTTTGGCAATAAATACGATTTTCTCAATTACTGCTGGGAAACACAAACCCTAAGGCAATCCAGATTTCAGGAGAAAACATAGGAATTTGCCATGAGCCCAGTAGAAATTAAAGTTCATGTGCGAGTTTCACTTGCTTGACATTCACAGTGTTTATCCACCCTGATGGTGTTATTTTAAGATGACACCGTTATTGTTTATCATTAGATAAGTGGCTCTAAAAAGAACAGTTTTTGTGCTATCGAGTTAGGAGACAGTCTGCATTAAAAGAGGCTAATTTGCACTCTGTGACCTTAGCAGAAATGGCATGCTATATTCTTTCTGATGGGGGACCATTACTGGAGTTTTATATTCTCAGCTTGGCTTATCCCATTTTTAAAGAGAAACTCTTCTAACCACTGGCCATAAAGCATAACTCGAACGTCATCTTAAAAAAGATGCAATCTTTCCTGTGGAAATATGTAATAGTAAGGGTGCCCTCTGTTATATGACAGCCTTACACATGTGGATGAAACAATCCTTTTTGGACTGTTGGCCCTCATCCTGCACTTAGGTATGTTACAGTAGGGATATGTACAGACAGTGGCATAACTAGTGACCTCAGGGCCCCGATGCAAAAATCCATGAAGGGCCCCAATGCGGGAATTTTTTTCTAAACAAAATTTAGTCAAGGAAAAAAAAAACAAACAACAACACTCTCCTCTTTCATGTCTCCAGCTCCCCATTATCCCCCCTTCATGTCCCCAGCTTTCCGCTCCCGGACCCCATGTCACCTTCATACTTCCAGCTCCCTGTCTCCCCCTTCTTGTCCGCAGCAGCTCTATTCGGCACTGGGCAGCAGTTCTGTGTGATGAGGGGGCGGGGATTACACCGCTCCCACTCATTGGCTGCTGTCCGGCTGGATGATACTTCACGCTGTGCCCGGAACCTGGTGAGGGGAGCAGCGTGAAGCATGTAGAGCCCAGCAAAGGAGGAAGAGGTCCCGGGACTGACATTAGCGGTTACCGGGATAATAAATATCCTGGTAATCAGCGGTTACCAAGGACCCCTTCCTCCTGTCCTGGGCCCCCTCCAAGTGGCGGAACTCCAGGGCCCGGTCGCAGCCGCGACCTCTGCGACCCTGGTAGTTCCACCACTGTGTACAGACATAGCCTGGCTCACACTGCCTCCCAATGATCTTAGACTTTGACTGCAGGTCAAATGCGCCTGCCAATTCATTCTTAATGATCTCAAAAACATTGGTGCACTTTTGAGCAGACGATTGGTGCTGATTGGTTGGTTACCAATTGGTAGATTGCCACATGGAGTGTATATGTGTGTGCCTATATTCCTGTGCTTTTCTGTAATATACTAGTTCTGAGGAAGGGGGAAGCTCCCCTGAAACATATCAGCTAATCGGTCGTCTCTAGGATCTGCCTGCTATCCAATTGCTCATCTTGATTTATCTCTATGTGAGTACATTTTATGGAAAAAAAATTATACTCTATATCAAAAATAACGTTTTTACACTAAGAGAGGGCGCTGCTTGTTTTTTGTTTTACATGATATGTAAGGATACTTCCCGCTGACCTTGAGGGTGGCAGCCCTTTCCCTTCAGGTTGATGTGGAAGAACTTTCCATGCTGAGCGCTGTGGTGTACATTACTCTTTTTGATCTCAAAAACATGTAAAACAGATGGCAAGCTGATGCCACTGAAATAAGCCTGAAGCCTGTGGACACAGCCGCCCCTCCCCAATAAAACATACTGAAATACCCACAACACCTAGATTCAGCGCTCCATCAACATATGTTCGCCCAACACTGTTATGAGGTAAGTACAGGGCTAAAATTGCTGGCCTCCCAAAGAAAATTCTACTTGCCGGCTGTGTCTGACGTAGGTAATTTTGACTCACAGACCTGGGACAAGAAGGCTGCAAATGAACAACAGAAATGTGTCAAATTTCCTTCTCTCCTATCTAGTTACGTTTCATGTTGATATGTCCTGTCGTCCTTGTGTATTGTATTGTTTATGTATATATGCAGTTAGTATTTTTTCTTTATTTCACTCACATTTTTTCAATATTGTATTTTATTTTTCTATGTTTCTTACTGGTTTATGCATATTCTGGATACCTGTTTTCCTATATAGATTTCGATCCAAATGCTGTATGGGATTATATTATTTCCCCACTCTGAGGTTATGGTGCTGTGCCTGTGTAACGCTAATATCTGTACGCTTGCTCTTTCCACACTCTGCCGATATTCCGGCTGGCGCATGCGCACTAGAATCGTGGAGAATTGTATCTCCCCATCACCCTGGTTACGAATGACGTCTATCGTATGCGTCTAACCAGGACAGAAGGCGACGCTGTGTATACCACAGAAGGACACCGGATCGCAACACTGCCTCACATTCTCTACATCTTTAGCAGATCGCCATGATGACTGACATTACACCGCCACAGCTACCATTCTAAACCTCAGACTGGAGGTAATAAACTGTGAGTAACATGGATATTATATATGTGTGCTTTTTAAACATGTCTATGTATTTTTAAAAATGGCGTTTTTCCCGCCATTCTGACATCACTGGGGGGGTGTCTTTTGATAATTGGTTCACATTATGGAGTATATATGTGGTGTGTGGACACCATCACGTTGTCACATCTTTTGCCCTGAGGAAGGGACCCTGCGTGGCCCCGAAACGTTGGCTATTTGACTATTGTGACACGTATGTCCAATAAAAAGGACTTATCTATTTGAAATCACTTTGAGTGCTGGTAACCTATTCTTTCTACTTCTCTCCTATCTGGTACCAAATCCTGACTTGAGAGCATTAAAGCCAAAGCATCAGCATACAAGCGGATAACTAAAATTCCCAAAAGGAGAGTTCAGCAATGGCAGCACTCTTTTTTCTCCCATGTTAGGGTCCCTTTAAAGCAGGGTTGAAAGAGTTAAGGAGAGAAGCTAATTGTGCATTTTTGTAGCCCTTGCAGCTTTAGAAACTGAGCAATATTGTTAAAGGAAACCTGTACTGAAAAAATTCATAGGCCGCTGGTGCTGAATTACTTCTGGAAATGCTGGTTGGCTGGATGTCTCTGGCTTTAATACTTTGAGACATTGACCTGACTAATGATCACGTCAACAATGTCACAGTGAAGCCTTAACACCAAACCCTTGCGTCAGTGACTTAGAAAGTACCAAAGTCATTAAATCAGCATAACATTTAATGTATTGCCTTGTATTTTGTACAGAAATAGCAGCCTCCATATATCCTCACTACAGGTTTCTTTTAACTGGTAGAATGGTTTGCTTTACAAAAACAAAAACAATATAGTCAGAGGGTTCAATCATCTAAGTTCTCTAACTTAGATGATTTTAGCCAGTAGCTAACAACCTAAATGACATGATAAGCATTACTCATTTTGTTCACTAAAACAATATACATTATGGATGGAAAATGACTCTAAAAAACTCATAATCTATCTTTTTTTCAACGTCAGTAATATTTTGGTTTTAGAATCCTTTTTTTGGTTTGGTTCCCTCTTTTGTCCTTTGGCAGATTATTTTGGCTTTGTTTGTGATGTCTTTAAGAGAGACAGACTGTGAGCATTCTCAACATAATCTGTGCCGCCAAAGGGCTTCAAAGCCATTTGTGAATTACGTTTTCATACTGCGTTCATACTGGGTTTTTATAACCACTAAATGGTTTGTTTAGGACAGGCATTTTACTATACTGTATAATTCCACAGTTAAGATCACACAAGGGATTTGCTAAAGGGCTTTGAAGGCAGGCCAGAAGCTGGAAGGCGTCCATAAGCCCAAACACCATATCAAGCAGGTAACCATGAGTAGAGCTAGTAATAAATATGTAAGATAGCCAAACTTGCATAGAGTCAAGTAGATGCCATTCAAGGACATGGACTACATTCATAAAGTTGTGTCTTTTAACTCAACAGCATCTCTATACAATAACTACTTAAAGAAGTCATTTTGTATTCAAAGGCAAACATCTATGTATCTAAAGTTAAGAATGAAGACAAACAGAGAAAAAGACACTGTTAAAAAAAACCAAATATCCACAGTCTGAATCAATAGTTTAATACATTATAAACCAAGAAAGCGTTGATTAACAGGATACATTATTTATAAGTTGATTTAAAATCTTCCTTCTACTCTGAGCTCTTCTATTGCTGATTGTCCAATTTTCCTATGCAATATGCTGACTTCGTTTTGTGTCAGAGTGCGTTCCATGTGTCGATATTTAATGCGGTAGCAATGACTAACTCTCTGGGTCCTGGGAACAGAAAAAGATTATTAATATTAATTACATTTTGTGTTAAAAAAAGACATTTCAAAACCCTACAATATGAAACTATGCATAACACTTGTAAAACCATCCACAAAGAAAACAATGATTCATGACAATAGTGCAAATATTTTAAGCCCAAATAAACCCTCACTATTTATTACTGTAGTGCAGGCAGGCTGTATATACATTTATAAATATGGTGCTATTTTAGTTATTCTTAAACTGATAATTGCTGCAGCCAAGGTCAAAATACTCTGACAGAGTGTTCAAACTCTCCAGTACTCCGACATGCCCCCTGCCCCCTAACACTGTTTTAATTAACAACATTCCCCCTCCCTTAACTGAGCTGTTGATTGTAGCAGTGCTTTGGGGTGGGGTGGTTATGGGTGTTGCAGGTGGCTTTGTGTGAGAGCCATGGTCCGACTCTGCTTTAACCCTGTGCATCACTCAGCAGTTAAAATGTCAAAGAGCCCTATACTTAATATTGCATATGCAGCCTGACTGCATTACAGTAATGAATAGTGAAGGTTCAATTGGGCTTTCATCCTCTTATTTTAATAGCAAATGACTAGTTATTAACTAGGGTAGATCGTTCATCATATGCAGCCCATCCAGCATTAATAATGGAGGTTTGGATACAATTCATCAAGTTTATCATTACAGCTTACTTGAAAAAAAGCTAATTGTCTGGATCCTATGATTTTTTAATAGCTTGGATACTTTTGGTGCTCGTGACCAAGGCCAAGTTTTCACTTTACTATCGGTGCTACTATACTACCTTGTTAGGGCAATGACATCACATGGGTTGGGGAATCAATCTCCAAAATTCTCATGTGCTTACAACCATAAATAAGGAGGATTCGCATTGGGCCCACACAATCTTGACAAGAGGCCTAGTAAAGTTTCCAGGATCCCTTGATCCATTTATATGGGAGCAGAGCATTTTGGCTAAGCAAATTGTCAGTCCATAATGAACATCTGCTGACCATGGATCTGATTTTTCTTCTATTTATAAGATGTAGAAGAATTAAAAGTATAATTTATAATATCAAGCAGTATTAATTATAACAATTATGTGCAAAAAAGCACATAATTGCTTACAAAGATTTATACACATAGGGGGGAATTTATTAAAACTGGAGAAGACAGAATCTGGACCAGTTGCCTATGGCAACCAATCAGCTCCTCTCTTCAGTCTGTTCAGTTTACTTTGAAAATGAAAGGTGGTTTCCAAGCACAGCTGCTCCAGGTTTTGTCTGCTCCAGTTTTGATAAATTCCCCTCAGGGTCTTTACAAAAGATTCAGAATTGTTGTCATAGAAAAGGAATTTACTTATAAGACACAGTGAGATATTCAACCACCCTGCTCGTCAAACTCAATGAAAGACCTTCCCATCTTTGGGTAGCCTAAGCCTTCTTTAATCTAAAATGGCAAGCAAAATAAAAAAAAGGGTTATATTTAGCTGTACAAAAAATGGGAAATATGATATCAAACATATGCAGAGAACTTTATTAGTAACCTGTATTTACTGGTACTAATGGGTGAAAGCTTGCCTTAATTATGGTGTATACATGCGGTTGTTTTTTAACCCCTTCGTGACTGACGACGTACAGTGTACGTCGCCAGCATCTTCTAAATTGATGACCTGTGGGGGCTTTTAAAGTGTCTTTTATTGACTTTTTGGGGTACTGCAGTTTTTTGCCGTTTCACGGTCGCACGCAATCTGTAAACTGGGCATGTTGGGTATCGTTTTACTCGTTGTAACCTCATCTTTTATATTTCATTTAAAAAATGGGTAATTTGTTGTGTTTTGGGGCATTTAATTAAATTTGTCACTAAATTTTGGGGTTTAATAAGGAGTTGCGCTAATATTGCGCAACATAAAAATTTTCAACTACCACCATTTTATTCTATAGGGTCTTGGCATTCAGAAAATATATAATGTTGGGGGTTTTACGTCATTTTCAGGCCTAAAATGTGGAATATAACATGGGTGCAAAAATTGAAAAAAGGGCCTCAGTCATGAAGGGGTTAAAGAAACCTCTGAGCAGACTCCCTTGAGAACTGAACTGATAAATTGTCTGAGTGGTCTACTGGAACAGATAAAGCTGGAGTGGAATACACAAGAATGTGTGTACATGAAGACAGCATTAAAGAGATCAATGCTACAGATATGTGAACTGTCATATGAAGTTGCTGATCTTGATGTCTTCCAGATATATCCTGATGCTTGTGTCCTAGTGTCTGCAATACCTGCTTCATGTTACAATATTTCTATTGATCAGAGTAAGCCACTCACAGTTAGACATACTGAATGTGCAGTGTGTAACTCAAATAATTTGCCATGTTTGAAACCCGTTGTGTACTTTTACAAAAGGGCAACCTACCTATCCCTTTTCAGAACTAAAAATAAAACACAGATTACAAAAATTAAATCGAAAGCGTGAAATCCCACAAAGTGCGTCTCATGAATTTCCTGTAAAGGACAGAAGGCCAGTTGTACCACCAGTCTTGTACTCTCAAAATGTGTTCTATTCAGTTGAAATATAGCAAAACCTTGGTCTACTGGAGACCTTTATCAAGGTAACTAATAGGAAGAGATGTCATTAATCTTAAGAAGAAATTGATGGCAGAGATAACCTTCTTTTCTTTCCATGAACTTTAGATTCTTTAGTTTCAGCAAGCTCTACTCTCCAAAAACTAAGCTTTAGTAATGAGTATGTTACATAACCAGCCGGCACTATGATTGCCTGGTACCATTTACTTTTTCTGGTAACTCAGTTGTTAAAGGCACACAACGAAGAGAAAATATCAGTGGAATGGAGAGAGTGGACCAAGGAAAAAAAAGTGACACCATTAAATCTTAACTCAAAAGACAATTATACATGATCAACAGCACTGGTTTTGCAGCTGACCTGGAGCAAACTCATGGGGGGAATTTATCATAGCAATTGCGAGTGTTTGAACTTGTACGAAATATATTCTACGCACTTTGCGCCAGATTTATTTTGCTAGTGTAATGTTGTTCATAAATTAGGTAAATAGACTCCAAGAAAGAAAACTCGTAACTCCATGGAAAAAGCTGAACTGACGCTTCTTGAAAAAGTGGACATGGGGACTTCTTATGTTGCGATTGTTTTGTTAGGTGATGCTCCAGTTTCAGACAGCTGCAGAACAAGTGCAGCTGTAAACTTTCATAAAACAGGTGCAAAAAACATGCAATTGAAAAAATTGTGCAACCTCTGGTCAAAACAGGCGGACATGTTAAAAGACAGATTTACACACAAAAACAAATGATCTAAGAGGCTGGAACTATCGCAATTGCTTTGATAAATTCCCCCCATTTTGTTTACTTTTGAGGGAATTTATCAGCACTGAAGACAAAATCTGGAGCAGTTGCCCATGGAAACCAAAAAGCCTCTCTTTTTGTTTTGTTCACTTAAGATTTGAAAATGAAAGAGAAGCAGATTGGTTACTATGCACAACTGCTCCAGATTCCATATGCACCAGTTTTGATAAATTCCCATCTATTTATTTAAGTGTGTGGTTCCTCTATCTTTTACTTTTGAAGGCTTGTATTGTGGCTGATAATGGTGAACATTAGAGGTGCACCGAAATGGAAATGTTAAAACCGAAACAAAAAAATTGTCAGGCCGAAACAAAAAATGTTTTTTATTTTAATGTTTTTCAAATTTTTTAAATATCTTATTTTATTTATAAACTTTTTAATTTTTTATATTTATTTTTATTTATTAATTCATTTTTTATTAAATATTTGTATTGTTTACTTTACTTTACTTTTAGGGGCTTCGGGGAAAAATTAGGGG